TAAAATAGCTTTCATAAAGTTAAAGATCAGATTGTTACAAAAGACCAGATCGAGGGATGAAATCTACTCTACCGGATAATCAAAGGCTTAAACCCTGGTCGAAGCGAAGCGCATGCGATGAGGGAAGAGAGAGACCACCAATGCAAGTGGATCGACTTAAGCATCGATTTCGAAGGCGACAACATTAAGCATGAAAATAGAGCCTGCCACTTTTTCTCGTTAATAATGTTACAAGCAACAACTAGAAAATAAGCTCTTGGATGCATGCCCCTATCTCCCACCCATCGTCCTGATCTTGGCTTGAAGTATCCAAGTAGCGCTAAAACGAAAAAGCGAACTATTGGAATTCTTGTCTTGGGCTTAGCCCTCTTTTACACCAACTCAATAACAAGCGCCGAACAAGGATGAAAGAAATAACATTACTAATCAAAATTTATTCATTCAACCATTCATATTACGTTACGGCAATCCTACACGCCGTCCGTGCAAGCAGGATACCGCGGTCAATGCTGTAAACAGACCTAGCATCATGCCACCAGAGCTCAATTAAAGCAGGAATCGGCCGGTATCGAGCAGTCGCAATTCCTTGGGCGCTTCGTGGCCCCGTTAGCTGTTAGCTGGCTAATAAAGACTTACGTAAAGAGGCATTTCGAGCCTGGAATATGGATGAATAAGAAACCTTTTAATATCACCGGATAGCAGAAAGATTTTTTGTTCGCTTGGCTAATATAAGGGAAATGGACGCCTGCTGAGATGTCTTGTAAATATGTCAGAAGATCTCTTTGGCCTGCGGTCGGGAGCTTGAGAGTTATATGCCTTGACCAGTCAGACTGTGGATTATTGGCATCTATCAAATCTTGTCACCCCATTGCATCAAGTCCGACTTTTTGCAGCAAGCACTCGTGGCGAGTGACCTTGATAGCCAAGTCACAGAGATCATTGAATTGCTGGAGCGCAGTGTAGTTTTATTCGCTGGGCTCAAGGTTCGTGATCAAGACCGATAACGTGGCTACGAGCTCTTTCCTTACTCAGAAGAGAGCCCAACCCCAAGCGGGCACGGTGGAAAGACTTTCTGGTGGGGTTCGACATGGTCCTCGAGTACAAGCCCGAGAGGACCAATCAAGTTGCTGACGCACTAAGTCGAAAGGCCGAGTTGGCATCCAACAAGTTAGAAGAGATAGCAGACATGAGCCAACTCAAAGGGGCCATCCCCGAACGCATAAGAGAGGGGTTGGAAAAGGACCCCGTAGCCCAGACCCTGCTGAAAAACGTGAGAAGCTTCAGTTAGAAGTTCCGCTCGAGTAGAACAGTTATTGGTGCTATATTTCATATCCTCCTCCTGTTGGTTGGTGAGTTACCTCTTCCCTTCATTTCCATTTAATCTCTGACAAAACCTACCTTTCAAACAACAAGAGGATCCCTATAAAGCCCCTAGTTGCCATAAGGAAGCTCTTTGTTATGAAGAAGCCACAAATAAATAAGAGGAAAATTAGGGTCTCAAGCATATAGGGGTTGGCTACGGGCGGCACCCTATAGCTATAACATTATGCGTGTGTAGATCCTTGACAACACAGAGGAAGTTGGAATAAAGATGGCATAGCTTTGGCGGTCATCGCAAAGGTGTCCTACCAATATCATTTTTTTAGAGATGAGACAAATGCAGCCGAATTGCTCGTCATATGATGGGTAGCCCCACATCAACATGGGTGGTATAGTCTTTTCCTTATTGTGTGGAAGATTCTAGTTTGGAATCGCCACTGAGGTTTCATGGTGTAAGAATGGACTTAATTCACCTGAGAGAGTTGTGCTTTTATTTTTTAAACTTGGGTCAGTGGTGAGAAGGCCGAGAAAGTGCTTAAAACCGTCATCGCATCGGTTGGAACCTCAAGGTGGAATTTTTGTCCTGTGGAAGAGCAAAGATATATCAGTGGATGTCCTTCAGGATGACTCTCAGTTCGTTCATATGAAGGTAGTTCAGGAGAAGAAGAGCGAGGGCTTATTGATTGCTCTCTATGCGAAACCTATGGAGAGTCTGAAAGCCTGGCTCTGGAAGCAAGTTCTTCATATGTGGGAAGTTTAAAGATTGAAAGCAAAATCATTGATCTTGGGTACCTAGGCTCTCAGTTTACATGGCGAGGCAAAAGTCTCCAGGGTTCAGTCGTGTGTATTAGAGCTTAGATAGAGCTCTGTTTAAGATGGAATGTCATTTTTCCCAGAAGCTGCTGTCCGGAATCTGCCTCCAGTCAAATCCGATCACCACCCTCTTTCTTCTTTTTGACCTGCAAAGTGACCTCAGTCGGCATTCCAGAGACCTTTGTTCTTTGAAGCGGCTTGGTTGACTCATACTCATAAAGAAAGGCTTGCTTATACGTCTTTCTAGCGTACGCGCGCTTCCGCATGTGATATTATCACTGCAAGCAGAAGTAGAGAAGTATATGTGATTGGGGAGGAGGATCAGGTAGGAATGAAAGCCAGTGGTGATTCGTGACTATGAACAGCCGGAGAGGGCATCCATTTCTTTCTTCTTATGTTCCTCAGAAAGAGTTACTGAAAAAGTACCTACTCCATTTCAGTATACCAATAGACATGCGGGCATGGAAAGATGATTCTCAGATAGTGACGGCATGGAAGATCCAGTGCTTGTCCCTTCGCCGAAGTACCTGTACAGTCATTCTGACAAGCTACTATCAATGAGCCATCCCTTAGTCTTAGTCCAATAGCTAACTTGGCTGGAGTAAGCGGAATCGCCAGGAGCGGAAGATGCTCTACTTCCGAGGAAGTAGAAAGACAGAGGAAAGGCAGTGAAGGTTACCCATGGTTTGCATAGAGAAAGGATAATGGAAGTGGTAAGGCAACGGGAACACCAAGACAAAAGACCCTTTGGGATGGTTTCAAACCTCAATTCTCTTTAGTGAAACCTTATCTCGTGTTATCATAAAAGCGCCAAGTCACTTCATCCAAAAGAAGGTGAATGATAAAAAGAAAAGCTAGTTGACTTCCATTCCAAACTTCAACCTCTATGAGGCTTTGTGGTGTTGGGCTGGAGATAGGGGGTCCTCTTATAATATAATCCGTAGCATTTAAGGCTTAATCACTCCGTATAGACACACCTAGACTACGAAGCTAGGGTAAGGAATCTTCTCACGCAGAAGCAGAAGGAAAGGAATTATTAGCATTGAAGTTGAGGGGCTTAAAAGTACGGTAGTCTACGTTAGTAGTGATTTGCTTATCGAAGTAAAGAGAATGGCAGGTCTTGAGTGATAGGTCATACCCTTGAGGACCAGATTAACCCTCCTTTTCTATCTTTTTAGTTAAATATCGAACCTTTACTATAAGGATAATAAATATAGTCAAAGATATCCCCAGTACCTTACGAAATAAAAACTCTCCATACTCAAGCTCATACCTAAGGCAATTCCTTGGAGCGGAGCTAGCATTCACACTGGATTCCCTTATTTCAAGTTCCAAGGGAAAGGCATAATCTATAGGGAGGGCCAAAAGAGACGTTCTTCTAGAAAATAGAGTTGATTAATATATTATTATTTTAACTATATATCCATTTAGATGATATTGAGAATTGTCCAGGTCAGTTACCATTAAGACCAAGCGCCTTGCTTGATGGCATCAAGAGGAGTACGATGGAAAGGCCTAAGCTATACGACTTGGCTCCCAAAGAGTATAGGAATTGGAAGCCGTGTTCCTGACACCAAGAGAGAGACTTCCCTTGACAACGAAATAATAACATCCGGGGGGTGGTAAAATCTCTATAGTCCATGTCTGCAAGAACATGAGAATCTATCTCAGCGGGAAAGTCTATATCTTCTCGCATTCTAAACTAAAGTTACGGTACCAACAACTACGTTCGTATCCTGATCCTACTCTTTCATTCAAACCTAAGATCATGAATCTCCTGAGCCCATTCACAAGAACCTAGGCAAATAGGCCCAAAAGAGGCTTTTTTTTTCGGCACACTTGAAATGTCTGTCTTCGAGGGGTTGATACCAATTTTATCGAGAGTGGCAGAATTCCAATTCAATTTTACGAGGGAAAGGTGCGATTCATCAACAAAGGGATAGGGATAAGGATACACAGGCGAGAGTGTTTAAAACATCAGTCATTGAATAGGTTACCCGGGATCATTTTCCTAGACGAGCGAGGAGAAGAGCATGACTGCGAGTGGATCCGCTAGCTTCCTTTCCCTGTCTTGTGGCGGGCTAATAACTAATAAATGGAGGAGTCGTTTCCAGGCTATCGAGCGGACCACCATTCTAGTGGGTCATGATGTCCCGTGGGGATAATATCCTAACCTTCATCAGTAAATGGCATAAGTCAATTGTTACGAAAGAATGAAATTTCACTCGATATGTATTTGACAAAGAAGCCTGCTGTCGTTGACCTTTCCCCGAGCTTGCATATAAGGATATTGAAGTGAATGGACCCTTCTAGATTGCATAGTCAGTGGGAGGGAACCCTACATAGATAGGAAAGCCTAACAAATCAAATAGTTGGGTTTGGGGAAAATCAAGCAGGGGAAGAATTTCCCATAGGAGCAAATCTCTCCTTCTTGATCTCTCTCTAGAACAGATATGCCCGAGGATGAGACCCCCACAGGAGGTGGGTGCTCTAAACGGTCGTCATATGTCATATGTTTGAATTAGTCAATCCGCTAAGAAAGCTAGCTTCAGCTGCTGTTGGTATTGTTGCGTATAAATCTTTCCCACTCTGTCTTATACTGACCTTCTAAGACATGCCTTTTTAGGGATTGGTCTTCCCCTAAGACTCGTAGACTAAAGCACTTATTTTGAGAGCATAGTTAAATACAGTAGAATTATTATTAAGATAAGTAGGAAAGCAAGAGTGAAGAGTCGACATTCACCACAGAACTAAAAGCATAGTCACAAGGGCAAGCGAACCACAGAGACCATTTCACAAGAGCTGAGCTGAAAGAAGAGTTCTTTTTATTACTCTAGGGCCTTTGGAAAAAGAGTAAGAACAGATAGTCATCGCCTTTCCCTTTCGACTGGCATTATCACACCGCCATAAACAAATTCAATAGCTGCTCCTAGCCCGATTCCAAGACCTGGACCTGTTTCAGGTTTGAAAGCAGCCCTTATTCCATTCATTCCATCAACAGCTCAATCGATGGGACTTGCTTTCCTTCCTAAAGGAAGTTACCCAGAGCCGGTAGAAATGAATGACTTAAGATAGAGAGATATCACCCCTAACAGAGTCCATTCTTCGAATAGTAAGACGGTAAAGCCAAAGATCTGATTCACTAGCAAAGTAAAGCAGCAGCCGTGATCAACTATAGGAAAGTACCAGTTTTACACAGTGACAAGGACTTCGCCCAAAAGCATTGATTGAAGGTCTCCTCTTTCTTTTTCACAGCTGCCCGTGAGTTCAGTCGTTAGTTAACATTCGACCTTTCCTGGAAACTTTCGAGAGGAGCGCTTTGTTTTCTTAGCGCCTTTTCTCCCGGTGGTAGTCGAATCCATAGAATTGGCTTAGTAGGATCGCTATTTCTTGTGCAGGTCCGTGCCAGTATGGTAGATAAAGTTAAAATAAGAATTGGAAGAGAAGTTCAAATAAATTCTTTACCTAAACAAGGGAATTGCTTTCCTCTTTCCCGGCCTTGCTTTCACTAGTTAAACTACCGCAGGTTCTGGATCGATTGGATCAACTACAACTGGGATAAGATGAACAGAAGGGTGTAACACAATCCGCTTCGTAACTGGAAGGCCGGACCGAAAGATTCACTGGTTCAACAAGCTCAATAGCCCCCAACTTGTTCGTTTTACTCACCGTCAGCCTTACTACTCACTACTTCTTCGATTACCAGCTTTCTCTGACGCCTGTCCCCGCTCCTTTTATCATGACATTGAGATCTGTATCCCTTCCTTCTCAATGCGATTCGATCCGGACCTTGATTGACATGCTGCAATTATCTCTTGAGTCACGCTATTTGGCACATAGGCATTCACTTTTGATCTGCCTATACGAACGAGCCATATCATTTGTTCTCTAGTGGGTGCCTCTTCTTCCTCTCTCCCACTGCTACCCGATCAGATGCACCTCTTATGCTTTTACTGGAGATGGAACTGTTGGATCACTTCGAAGACTGAGACCTGTTTGGAAAGGAAGCCCTACCAGCTCTAATTCCTCATCCCAATCTCAGAAGAAAGGTCCAATACCAGCAAGCTATAGGAAATAGCATCGGTGGAAGATACAGCAAGGATTCTGAAGACGAATAAAACAGTGAGGATGTCCATGCTCAGTTGCTTTTCTGTCAGCTTCTTAACCGCGTGGTGCCTTTCCCTCTCATCCTCTTTTTGGCAACCGAAGTAAGGGTGTTGCAATCCCTCTACTCGCTGTTTCCTGAAGCTATCATTCTTGTCTTTAGCGCAAATACGGAAACCAGCCACATCAAATGCTAGTTAGATACCGTACATTCTAGGCCAAAAAGTAAAAAGTTAGAATAAACAAAGAGAATCATAAAGGAAAGGGAAAGGCAGAAAGAAGAGGCGAAATTCCTTTTCACAGCCCTTTACGTAGCGTGATGATCTCCTCGGGGGCTTACTTAGGACCCATCCCCATTGTCAAGTGATGGAAGATCAGACTAGAGATCAAGCACATCGGACGGTATCTGAAGGGTTATCTTGGTATCTGTTGTACCCCAAAATTTTCCCTCCCATATTCTTCAAGGTTTATCAAGAATCATCCTCAAATGGTTCAAGTTTACTAAGGAGATTGCACAATCAAACCATCTCCTAAGACAACTGAAATTAGGGTTTTGGTTCTTTCAAGGAATTTGAGGTTTTCAATGTCTCAATAAAATCTCATAGGCCCATATACATCCTCGAGCATCTACATGCCAAGTTTCAAGGCTCACAGTGTCCATTTGCACAGTCAAAAGCTCCATTTGATCCACAGTCAACTGCAGGGGTAAAATGGTCATTTTGCAGTCAAAGGTCAGAATTTTTGGTCAACTTATTATTTTGAGTTCACAATCATCATTTGATCAAGTCTTGATCATGATTCCACAAGGATGGCTCAAAAATCATCTAGGATGCAAAAGTTACTATTTTTGGACATTAGAAAAGTCAACTGTATCTTGACCAGGGCATAACTTTTTCATGGTTCATCGTAAAAATCCCATCCAATGCTCATTTTGAAGGGGATTACATTTCCTACAAACCATATTCACACTCCAAGTCCAATAAATGATCTCATAAAAAGTTATCAATTTCTACATTATAGGTCAATTTCAAAAGTCAACAAAAATGCACTTTAAGTCAAAGACCATAACTTGAGATTGGTAAATCCAAATGACATGGGACCAAAGGCATTGGTTAGAGGACTTCAATACCTTTCCAAAATGTCCAAGAACATGTTCATATGATCAAAATTGAGCAAGATATGCATTGGAGAAGTTGGGAAAGTTTCATGAATTTGCAAAAGTCAACTTTGCTCAAAACACCTTGTTTTTGCTAATGGGCCTCAAATTTCTTCTTGAAACTTCATCCATGGCCTATGCACGACCCATCAAGCTTAATTGAATTATTTTCTTATTTTTTATTAATTAATTGGATTTTTAATCAATATTAATTCATTTAATTAATTTAAATTGTAGGAAAATACAAAGATTTGATTTTTCAATCTTTTTGTGAAGCAAGAATGACCTAAAAAGGCTGGCAATTTCGTGTACCAATCAAGGATGCAAAAATCTCCAAATTTGGCAACTTTTTCCAATCATGAAGATTCAAAAATATATGATTTCCAATCAAATATTCAAATCATCATTCCATGGATTTCTTTGCAAGATTCTGACCTAATTTCATTCTCCTATATATACACAAGCCAACCCTAATCATGCACACGTGAAATTTCTACAGAAAAAGCCATAACCAATTCAAGAAATTTCCAAGAAAACTTGAAACTGATTTTCACATTCCAGGCCAATTCAAAGCTTTTTATTGATTCTAACACATTGCAGGAGTCCCCAGGAACGTGTAGGAATCAAAACCAAGCGTTGAAGCTCAAAGAATCATCAAGAACAGTTTCACGGTTTGCATATTTTGTCCATAATCGTATTGCTCAAATCATGCATATTTAACATGATTTATTGTTTGTTTTGCATTGCTTGAATCCATGTGAAGCTAATGGTATAAGTTAATTGACTTATAATGCACAGAATCACAAGTTACCATTGACGAATTCTAGGGTTCCTGAGCTTTGGATTTGGGGCTTTGCAATACAAGAAAAATTGAGCCTCATAAGACCCATGACTGAATTCGTTAGGTCAAGACGAATCCAAAGCCACCATCGCGAAATATTTATGCAGCATGTAGCCCTAATCGCTATTATTCGTCATTGCATATTGTGGGGGTTAAAACCCCCCGCTATCTAATGTTATAATTGCAGGCACAAGGAAGAAGACGAGGACGTGTTGATACGTGGTTGGTTGGTTTGAAAAAGGGCGCGTGTTTTTGTCTTTTACAGCATATGGATTAATTTGGGACCTGGGTTCGAATCCCAGGTCCACCCAAAACACTTATATTATTTTTCTTAACATAGTTGTGTGCAGAATTCCAAAAGAGGTCTACCATGTACTTCATCTTTCCAAGTGCCAGATGTCTACATGCACAAATCCAATGGCCATGAGATGCTGACCATGGTACTCCCAGTCAACCAACGCCCTGGACAATCAAGAAAGTCAAACGTGGCTGGAACAAATGGGCCTTCAAATTTCCAGATTAACCTCCTTAATGGGCCAGCACCCCTCCTTGGTTTATTCTTCTTTTAATTCTTTTTTTTCTTCTTTATTTAATTATTTTACTAATTATTATTATAATTATTATTATTAACCAAATTAATTATTTTCATAATAAAATCAGAAAACATATAATATATTTATTATTATTATTATTTATTAATTTCACCCTTCATTATTTTTGTAAATAAATATTAACATAGATTAATTTAGTTAATTAGGGCAATTTTAACTTTTTGTTTCACAATAAATAAAATCCATGTAGAATTAGGTTAATTAATATATTTAACTATTATATTTTATTTTCATTAAAAACATAAAAAACTTAAAAAACCTTTCTTTTAATTAATTAATTAGTTTTAGGATTAATTTAATTAAATGCAAAATAACCAAAAACTTCTTTCTTTCTCAAAAAGGGTCAAAACCCTAAAGACTTTCTCCGATTCAATTTTCTATTCGCGCATATTATTTTTGATCATATTTATGTAATTGCTCCGAGAATGTAATAGCGTTAATTAGGACTTTTTATCGCTTTCCTTTAATTTCCCGCAATTTACTTTTCAAGGGTTATGTTTTTGGCAATGTAAATACCCGACGCCTTGTAATAGCGTAGATTTACTTTCCGCACAACTATTAACTGTTAGATGTATGTTAACTAGGCTATGCATGACAAGACTTATCTCTGAAATTAAAATCAACCTGTAGCTCACCATAACATGTACAAAGATAACTTAACATGAAACCTGGCACACTCGCACATGCCACTCCTAGGGTACGCCTCACTTGGTTGCCTCGACGTGGTCATTGAGTATAGGGTGTTTTAGAGGTCGCCCTCCTGTCTAAAGATCCAAGTTGCCTCGAAACGGTTGCCTCGGATAAAAAAGGATCTAGGACATTAGGGTTACCGCTAAGGCGTCCTACTATTGCTTTGGTGACCACATGTCCCTATAATCGAATTGACCCGAATAACTCCGACGACGGTGCTACCTACTTCTCAATAGTGGGATAATACTGTCTAAAGGACATTTACACAGCTTAATTTCTTTTGAGTAGGTAGATTTCTCCTGGGTACTTGCTCTTTCAAAAAACAAAAACAATTTTTCGCACTTACACTTTCAAACAAAAGTTTTCAAACAAACACTTCATACACTCTTGAGGACTGATACAAGAGTCAAACGAAGTTTTCAAACAAACTTTTTTTTCAAAACCCACATACACAAGAAAAGCAAAACATTTTTGAAAACATAGTGAGCAAGTACCTAAGAGCCCGTGGATAACCACAGATAGAAAGGGTGCTAACACCTTCCCTTTCTATAATCTACCTCCCAAACTGAGAAACATCTCGAAAAGGAATTTTGCTGTGCTTTTGTCCTTTCCTTGTTGGAGAAAATAAAAGACGGTGGCGACTCTTCCTTACCGCGACATTTCGCGAACCAGCATTCCAAACAGTCAGTTCTATTTCCACCGATCACAGAACTGGCGACTCTGTTGGGGACTCTTATAAGTGAGGTGTACCTTAGGATTAGATGACTCTTGTTTTCAATTGTATGCTTTGTGTGCTTTAACTTTGTGGGCATTGTATCGGAGTTTTATAGATCCTAACCCGGATCTGGGGCACCCTTGTTTAGGTAAGTAGCAATAAACTGTGAGGGACATGTCCGGCGTAGACCGACACGGGTGAAGCAGTAGCTACGTTGGTGTGACACCTTGGTCTGTACCGATATCCCTTATGTTGGAACGAGGAGAATATTGGTCTTCTGAGGAGTCATTAAGCACCAACTGACCTTAGAACCTTAAATTGACCAACTTGGCCATAGAACAGTAGCAGTATACTACACTCATTGAGGCTAAACTCTCGCGATGGTTCCGGCCGCAAGAAAAGGTTGCTAAGCTGGAGTTATGACCGATTGAGGGTAGTCAGTGATATTGAGATCCTCTAGAACCCGGTTACTATTTTTAGGACAGGTCTTAACCAACTGAAACTGAAAGAGGGTAGTACCTAAACTTCATGCCAGCCTGAACTCTAAGGGCTCTTTTGTGTGACTTGTGTGCCTTATCATGTTTGCCTTTTGTGAATACTTGTGGTGTGCCTTTATCATAACATCATAACATCATAACATCATAACATCATAACATCATAACATTGCATACATCCTGCATAAGGACTAACCCATTTCAAGGATCTCAAGGATTTGTGATGCAGGTCATGATGAACAAAATATCTAGCAAGGGGCAAAGGGGATTTATTTTCCTCTAGCCAAGGTTGTTCGGAGATCAAAACATGATGACTTGAGTCAGGGGCTATGACCCACTCGATATGGTGAGCCTGACTCTTGAAGAAGGACTCTTAATAACAGGAAGCTCCTTCAATCAAGCTACAAAATTCAAATGCTAACAGTTTCTTGTTTACCCCGCGAGATCCTTGAAAACATTGCATACATATATCGTACATATCATTGCATTACAGGTACCATTACAGGTCACTTATCTTCTTCGCTG